CCTGTTTGATGGAAGAAGGGAAAAAGTGATGAATTAATAGTGGGTATAGTAGTGGCAGGCAGTGGGGTCTACAGGCTACAGGTTTGGTAAGTATCAGCCCAAAAGAACATTTTAACTTCTTCAAACTTTTCTTTAAAAAAATATGAAAAGTAACTTTTTCTTTTCTAGCTCTGAGGTGTTAGGGGCTGAGTGGGAGCTCAAATTTTACACAAATAAGTCGAGTTCAGTGGGCTGCTATCGAGATGACTTCCTCGGACTGAAAACAGATACTGAGACGGCCACTTAGCTCAGAAATCTTGGCTGGGTTCCCTTCTGAGGCCCTGACAAGGCAATAACTTGAACCTAATAAAAAGTTGAAGCCCAGTGTAAAGCCTCTGGTTCATTTGACTACCCTTTGAACTGGCCTCAGCTCCATAAGGCCGATGTAATTGTGCCTTTTCCTGTGTGAACCGGGTCGCTGGCGATGGAGAAGCTGCAGGGACATGGGCCGTGAGCGGATGGAAGGGAAGGATTCCCTGCACTGCCACAGGAAAAGACAGTGATGCCTAAGCCAGGGAAATGTGGGAGCAGCTGTTTGCTGGGTCCAGCGGTAGGGATGGTTTTGTCACCGAGGGTAATGGAGCCGGGATTACCCCGGCAAGGCGCATCCTTGCTCTTGATCCCCGCGCAGGTTAGGCGCTCGTGGCCAGGTATTTCCTGGGATGTCTTGTTTCCCTTTGACTTACTTGAAATTCCACTGTGAACTCGCAGCTCTTTTCAGAACAAAATGCTGTGCAAATGCCTTACGGGCTCTTCCTCTTTCACTGACCTTTTTTTATGACTTAAAAAGAAGTTTCCCTAGGCCCAAGTCTGCTTTCTGTCTTGAATATTGACCTTAGCATTACACCATCTCACCGTCTCTGCATGCAGACTTCTCAGCTATCAAAGTTCACCCACAGGACTCAAACTATTCCTAACTCAGAAACGCTTTGCCTTTCATGTCCTCCTCCTCCTCCTTTTCCCCCTCCTCTCTGCGCAGCATCTTAATTTCACAAGCAAACGCCGTTTCTCTGAGCGTTGCAGCGAGTGGTTTACCTGCTTCACGGTAAAAATTCTAGTTCAACTTGAAATGTCTTTTTCACTGTGACTGTCATAATATTTTCCATTTGAAGCTGAGACTCCACTGTGGGTTTTCTGTGCCACAGCGTCGTCTGTATGAATGTGAGCTTAAATGTGTGGAAATTCTGACATTTGGGTAAGAAATATAAAGTTGTTTTTAATTTTCTTCAAGTCAGCTCCTTCATAGATTGGTTGTCGGGTTTTGCCCAGTGCTCTGGTCTTTCCCAGTGCAACAGCAGGTACAAGATTTCTCAAGGTTAGGGGCTCGTTTGCGTCCACTGCATTGTGTCATTTTTTACGAACATGAGTGCCGGTAAGCTTGTAAATCTGATTACACACCCCGAAAAGGTGATTCGGAAGCAGCTACTGTGAACCAGGGATTTCCACCGGCTTGGCTTGGGTGCCACTGCCGTTGGCAGGACGGCCGCATACGGCTCTAACCTGCCGTCTCCGCACCACGTTCCTCAGCGAGGAGCACAGCGCAGACGTGGCCCTCCTGCAAGGCAGCTTCCTGGCAGCAGGCTGAGCCGAACTTTGCACCGCGGTAAGAGCTGCCCTGGGGTTTAGAAGGGTTTTTGACATGTTGAAGCACCGTTGGGCTCTTCAAGTCCGTGGCCTATGTTCCAACACCCCCTGGAACTGTGAAGCAGTACAAGCTGTACTTCTTCTTGGTGAGTCTGGACTCGTAACGTTCACCCAGGATGCAATATTTGGCCATGGCTCTGTGCTCTCTTGAGTAACAGTTGGCAGCCTTGGGGTGGTTGGTTACGTAGAACGAAGTACGCTATGGAGAAGATGACCAGAACTGAATTTCCTCACATGTTTCTACCTATTTCTACTGCATTACGTGAAACACAGAAAAATCTATGCCCACTAGTAGCGTTCAAGACCACAAATATATATTTTCTCCTCCATTACTTTGAGAGCATAAGGGGAAATTTGCAGCAATTTCAATGACTTGACATTTGTCACAACAAGAACAAAGGGAGTTCTGAAGCCGAGACGTGGCTGTCTCGGGTAACTGCCTTCTTTCCGAAGGGGTTATGAGCTACTGGTGACGCAAGCTGCCGCTACCAGAGCCCATTTCGTCGTGGCCTTATTTGATCGAGTGTGCTGCAACCCAAGTCACAGTCGTTTGGTTTAATTTTATAACATAAATATGATTTTTACGTCTATTACGTGTGGGTTACAAAACTTGGGAGCGATTGCATCTGCAGAGCTAAGAAAGCCTGAGGATAGGATTTTCATAGGAACCTGAGGGAATTTTCCTCAGTTCTACTCAACTGGCACTTGCAAACTTCATTCTTCACAGTTGTGTTTGAGCAACTTCCAGTTGTGCATTAGGCAACATGGCCAACATTTGTCACATGTTGTTTATTCTCTTATCTTCTCCCTAGGGGAGGGAGTGTATGTGCTGGAGAACTTTCCTTGGGGACTTAGGTTCCTTGGATCCCATAGAATTGCATGTAGAAATCTTGTCTCCATCACTGCCTTTTATCTTCTCATATGAACCTTGAAATTGGGTGGAATTTGGGTAGCTAGCCACAGTAGATGCCACTGGAAAAGCTCAGCCTTGTTTTTTAAATAGTCTGTGAAATCATTACAATACAAGGAGCAGTGATTTGAAGAGGTGTAATGCCAGTATTTCTTTTTTTGATTGCAAGTCAATTTATTGTACTGCAAGCTTGTAGGAGAGCTTTTTCTCCCTGTGCTAAGCAATAATGTACTTAATTAATAGTACCTCTTCTTGAGGAGCTGAAAACAATCATCCCTTTTCTTTGCCTGTTAAAATTTATCTAAGTTGTTTTGTAACCTAGTGTAGTCAAGCTGGGTGGCCTAATGCAGTCCTGCTTTGAATCTTTGAATTTAATCCCTTCAGCTGCATTAGGCTTTTCGATTAGACAACAAGGAAGTTAACTTCCAATAAAGGTATCGGACTGAGGCACATCTGTGCCATCTCGATGCATGATGAAACATTGTAATTGCAATAATAAAAGGTTTTCCATTCCAGGGAGCTACTAGTACATTTTCCTAAAGGTGCTTCTTGAACGGGATGGCTAATTTACGTTGAAGATATGCAGCTTGATGGAAATCTTACTCATGTTAAGGGCAAATATTCTGGGAATGACAATGAACCTCAGATGGCCTCAACTGAGATTACTAACAACGTTGGCAGTTATGGCAAAATGTGAGCTAGTGAGCACAATAAAATAAAGACCACAGCAACTGCTTGGTCTAAGACGTAGCTCTTACCTGAGGATGAACTTTATCTCCCCAGTAAACAAAAATAAACCCGTAATTTGGATACTTACTAAAAGCAGATTTTTTTTTTCTCCCATCATAAATGTGTTTGTTTCCCTGAACTGCGCACAATCATTTGAGGACAGCAGAAACTTGGTTTAAGCATATTCAGTTAATAAATCCAACTTCCACCTCCCTTTTTTTCACCTCTTTGAAACCAAAAAAAAAAAAAAAATGCTGAAACCTTTTGAGCAGTTCCAGCATTGAAAGCTCCAGCTTTGTCATCTTCCACTGTGTGGGTGAGGTGAGGTGCACACCATGTTTGTCCTGCTGAGACCCCTAATAATTTCCCTGACTTCATGTTTTTCCTTTCCAGTGCTTCGGCCCCAATGCAGCCTGCCAGGCTTCTCGCTGGCTGCAGGTGACCTCCCGGCCACACGGCCTGTGTTTCCCTGCCACTCCAGCAGCAACCACAGGGAACTCGCCCGGCGACGGCCGCGCATTTTGGCTGCAATTAATACAGCTTGGATTTCGTTTAGTAAATGGCTAGTGAAAAGCTGTCAATATTGGGACAAGCCCAATGGAAACACGTGTATTATCCAACAGAGGGAGATTTGTAAATCCTCTGGCCAGAAGCTAAAATTCTTCCTTAAGATTTTGAAAACCCCGTGAGAAGTTTGACCTTCCCTGTTCCTTAGGGCAGCTCCAAAAGTCTCAGCCCGTGGTATTCTAGGAGACTCGCAATGCTGACTTAATAGCTCTTTAGTTATTAGAGAATAAATGTTTGTGTTCTACAAGTTTAAATTATATTAGAAATTTTTATTAGCATGGCTTGGCAAAATCCACTGCTGACGAGCTCACTGGCCCCGGGTGAGGCCATTCTTGTGGTTTCTTAATGACATGCTCTGAAAGGATGCACTTTATGAGAATCTGGTGCCAGGTTTTGCATGTAATAAGAGGCGTTTACTATTTATTCATACCACTGCCGAGTGAAACAAGAAGTTTATATTGGATTTATGTGTTGTGTTCATCTGGCTTTTCCTTGCACTCAGCCTTTCTTGATAGTACCCAGTCTCTGCATATTGCTGGTGACAGCTTGGTTCTGGCATGTAATTACCAAAGTCTACTTTCTGTTGTCTTCTTTTTTTGTGAAATGTTCCCTTAGTACATTTGGCAAAACTGTCGCAACCCAAGATGAACTTGTGTGTGCTACAGAATGGATTTCCCCGCTGTCTGAAGCAGAATTAGGCCACCGGGGTAGCTTGCTTTTGCTACCCAAAGGCAATTCTTCATAGCACGGGCAAAATGTCTCAGAAGTTTCTTTCCCACAAGACTTGGTGAAACGCAGTCGTCATTGAAGTGTGATTCAGCTTGTTTTCTCTGTTGTTGTCGCGTGTTTATTTGCTTTGCAAACAACAAGTCCGCCTCTTTTTGCCTCCTCTGAAGCCGTGGTAGTGTGAAAAACCGATAGGGCGACGTACCCGGCGGGTGGGAGGAGGTGTGCGTGGTGGCAAAGTGGGGCTGGGAACAGGCTTTGGGACTCAAGTAACCTTTCTTAGGTGTCTTTCCACGTCCACAGCTGTTTGTTACCGAGATGGGGTGTTGGCTAGCAGTGGTGGGTTGCAGCTTCTCTGACCTGACGCTCTCTTTTCTCTCTGCAGTGGGCAAGCCTCACAAGTGCAACTACTGTGGCCGGAGCTACAAGCAGCGCAGCTCGCTGGAGGAGCACAAGGAACGCTGCCACAACTATCTGCAGAACGTCAGCATGGAGGCTGCCGGGCAGGTCATGAGTCACCACGGTGGGTGGAAACCATGTCTTGAGGCCTCTTGGACATGGCGCGTCTTCTGCGGGTGTTCTCCTCTATTTTGGTTGCCTTCCGTTGAGCTTTGGATCGCATCTTTCCATAGGACGCTTACTCAAGTATGCAGGAGGAGAAAAGATGGGGTAAACTGCGTTCTCCATCCAGTTTCACAGCAGAGTTCTTGCTCATTTTTATAAAGCTCGTATTTCACCTTTTTTTGTATGTATAGCTATGCCTACATAAAGGTGAAAGACAAGCAAACAAACAAAAAAAAAAATTCAAAACCACAAGTCACCTGTAAAAGGTCACCCTAAAAAATGAGCTATGGCATATGTGAAATATATGATCCTCCTTGCTCTCTTTTCTGATGGTGACTGATAATTACAGATGCGAAGAACAGTGAAGGTGTTCTTAAGTATTCACTCCTTAGAACAATAAAAATGTAGTACCATGTTCAATCAAAAAAAAAAAGTGGAGTAAAAGTAAAAAAATTCAGAGCAGAATGGAATTCAACGGTGTGGATGAAAGTAATAGATGAAAAAAGTTTATATGCATTTACATATGTTAGTAGTATTAATACACAAACACTGCATGTGTTAATACCCAGAAAGCCTGAAGATTGCCAAAAAGAGTATTGAACGAAGCAAATGGCAAATTGCATGAATTTGTTCTTTTAAAATTTGCGTAGCTATTGGTATGGAAATATGCTCAACATAATCTTGCAGACTGTAGGGTTGTAGATTTATCTGTAGCACTAAATAATAAATAGCACTTGTCCAAAAATTGTTACCCTTTCATTCAAAATAAGTATTTCTAAAATACTGCTAGAAGTCATGTCTTTTTTAATAATAGTCATTACAAGTTTGATATTTCAAGAGTTTTCAATCTTTTATTAATCAAAATATATATAAAAATTACATTCTATATTTTTCCAGAAAAAAAAGCACACATCTAGGAATACCAAAAAAGTAGATTAAAACTAAAAGAAAAGCAAAGGGGGGAAATTACTTTGTCTCATTTTGCTTTTAATTGTTGAGTGTAGTCATAAGGCTTCACTTTGAAATTAATTCTGCAAAAGCCTTGAAAGGTCATTTCTAAAAATGTTTAAAAAAAAGTGAAATAAAATGCATTCAACATTTCTAATATGGGCTAATTTTCAGTGAAAGAATCACTGACAATTTTAAAGACTACTTTTTCATGAAAATATTAATCCTGTTAAAGGCATTCAAAAAGTATGTAATGCATTTTCCAAAAATGTACAGACACCTCTATTAAGTAATTACTATCTTTTTAGCCACCTTGGAGGCTAAAATCAACCTTTAAAACCTAATGGATAACTTCAAAGGTGTTGAAGTTTGTGGTTAGCTACTTCTGGCCTCATGTTCTGCTTGTAAAAGTCAGAGAAGAGACTGGTTTCAGGTACCTGCAAACAGCTGTGTGCTCGGACTGTTGGCAGAGTGCTTAGTTGATGGAAGGCGTTTAACCACCTTCTCCTTTCACAACAAAATGATACGGTCTACACTCTGCAGAGGTGTAGTTGTCTGATTAGCTGGCTCGGTGGTGATTTCGGTCAGAAACAGGGACTTAAGAGTGAGGCACTTAAACGTCTCAAGTGAGTCTTCTCTGCAGAGTATAGTTGGGGCAGCTGGAATGTTTCCTAGTTCACATTATGGAGAATTGTCACAAATTCTACTCTGTTTCTAGGTTTATAATTGAGCTATTTATTAAAATTGGGTTCACTATTGTTGATACTGTACTTCTGAGGAAATGTAAAGCTTTTTCTAAGCTGATTAATGCTGTGACACAAAAGGTAAGTCCTTGACCTCATCTGCCCAAGGAAGCTGGGATGACTGAATTCACACTGATTCTTTTCTACCAGTTGAAGTTAAACCAGTGCAAACCCGATGTTAACAGTTATTTTATTTACTGCTTGACTGCCTTTGTGGTTAAAATACAAATGTTCACCCAGCCTCTTCCCTTTCCTTGACAAAATTAACTTAAAGCGGCACTTTGAATTTAGCTAATGTCTCTTTCTCCTCTTGGCAAATCTGCCTAAATCTCCCCCAGTGGACATTGAAGGGATATTGGATCCAGTCTCATCTCAGAGGCGTCTAGCTGGGGCACAGCAAGGGTAGGAGTGATGATGAGGTCCAAATCCCCTCCTGAAGCAGTGGCAGATCTCACCAGCCATCCCCGGTGCTCCTGCTTGAAAGCTGATTCTGGGAGATGTTTATAAGCAGCACTGGGTGCTGTTGGTTTATTTGGCATTGGGGTTAAGTTCTCCGAGTCTCTTTCCCAGGGTTTTCACAACATTTTATTTTTGCTGAGTGATGAGGGAGTGCCAGGTGGGAGGAGTAGGTGCTCTAGGCTCCATTTCCTAAGGCACGCAATCGAAGGCCGTCACGAGTGCCTTCAACAGAGCCCCAGGGCCGACACCGCTGGGCACGGGGCTGCTCTTGATGGTCTCCGTGGGGTGAGGAGGAGGAGACTTGAGTGTGAAATTTCTTTGGAGTCACCCCAAAGTGAGCTGAACTGAAATTCCTGCCCGAGGCCCTGCTGCCTCACGGAGTTGCCCTGCCTCATGGCTGCCTCCCTCGTAGGCCGCTCGCTGTGGGAGAGCTCTCCTCTTCTTGCCCTCATGTTCCCCTCTTGGCAGTCCTTGGCCCTGGAGGGAGAAAGGAGCCTGTGAAGTGTTGGCTAGCAGCATTTTGGGGTGACACAAGTGACAGTCTCTGACTGCCAAGAGCACAATCTTTGCGGAGAGGCATGGGGAGAAACGTTGAACACTAGCTGTGGTTTGCACCAACTGACAAGCTCTGCCCCATCTCCAGAAAGCAAAAACTCTAAGAGAGGTTCTTAAAATGGACTGGAAAAGCAACGTTCTTCCTGGGAGGAGGAGGAAGGCCCTCAGCTCCAGGCCAGGTGAGGGGGTAGGCCGGCTCCTCGTAGACCAGACTTGTGGCTTGTGTCCTGCCCTCTGCGGAGCTCCTCAAAACTTAGCTAAAATGCTGATCCCACCAGGGACTTCACACCAGTGGTCATGGGAATATCTCCTGTCATTTCTTCACGCACACACACTTTTACAAAATAGCAGTATTGTGAGGTTAGGAAAGGAAATTGAGGCTGATGGAGTAATGCTAATTTATAACAGCTTAGACTTCGTGCAGTGTCTGTTGTCTGTACACAGAAATATTTTTCAGCAAAATGCACACTGGCTGACTTTAAAAAAAAAAAACTTCCCCCCTGTTCTTCTGTCAGTGGAATAGCATAATTTTTCTAACAGTCTGCCTGATTTTTCATAAATGAAAAAAAAAACCAAAAACTTAAAAACAGCTCCAAGGTTAGCTCTCTAATTCAAACCTAGTGTCTTCAGAAGATGTGCTTTGTAGACAGGTTTGGGTACCAGGAGTTTGGACTCTGCAAGAATATTTGGTGTTAACTGCAGTGGAGGGTCTTAGAGGTGTTAAAGACAATGAACATCTGTGTGGGGATCAATCCTGCAGTCCGTCCTGCTCCTCAAGACCATTGCAGAGCAGAAGCATAGGCAAGAGTGGGCTTTTCATGCTCTAGGCACTTGATTTCTAGGGTAATAAAAACCTTCCTGGGCTGAGACAGTAGCTTCACAACACAAAATAAGTTGCTAGTTGTAACATGTCAGCTGTTCTTCGACAGCTTCTGCTACCCGAGGTAATGAAGTCCAATGAAATACAATGAAAAGGGAATTGTATTCACCGCAGAGCAAATGGGTGCACGTGAGCTGCTCCCACAAAGCAGCTGATTTGTGGTAACTTGTTTGTTGTGTCTGATGGGCTTGTGTTGGTTTTCCCCTTTTTTTTTTTATTTTGTTTTTCCTCAAAAACGATGCAGTCTGGGCTGGCTGACCTCTGCTTGTATATTTTTAAATGAGAGGCAAAACAAAAGTTTTAGATGAAAATTAATGTATCTGGACTTGGCAGTGTAATCTTTAGCGTAACACAGTTTCCGAATTGTGATATCTTACCTGTTTGCTCTCTATTTGCATGTGGTTTACATGTACATACCAACCAGGCTATTTTCATCTCTCCTTTCTCCCTGGAAATCTGCATAACAAAAAATATTCTGATAACTTATTCCCCTCATAACAGAAATACTGAGTAATTCAGTAATTCTTTTGCAAAAGTGCAGTGCCCTGGACTATGGAGTTGAGTTGATAGAAGAAGAACTTGCAGCATAAAACATGAAATAGTAGAAGAAAATGCTTTTATTTTTATTTATTTCATTTTACTTTTAATGGGTATCCAAGCAGAATCTTTGCCTGACTTACAGAAGAGCAGATGTCTTTTTTAGCACTATTCATTTTTCATGGAAGAAAGGTTTCAAATTCCATCGAGGAAATTTTATGCACATATGTCCAACAGTCTAATTAATTAATTATTATTTATTCTTCATAAGCCATACAAATGTTGTTTAATTTGGGACTAATTAGGTGGCTGTGAAAGTGCCTGGGAGGGTTTTGACTGATTTTTGTGGGCAGTATGCAAATGTAGCCCTGCAAAGGTGCCTTTAGCAAGTCTTTGCAGGAGGCATTTAGAGCCCTCTGCACCTCCCATAGAAAGCTGGCCCCTTGCAGTAAGGAGATATATCAAGGTCCACATGAATGCACTATTTTTGCTAAGTCAAAAGGACAGTTAGACACAAATTCCCGATGCAAATCAGTGCATATCATCTTTTCCTGTTTACTAAATCTCAATAAATACTTGGAGAACTAATGCAAATATCATTGGAGCCACCAAAGTACCTAAGTAACCTTAAAAAAAAAAAAAAAAAAGCCTTATCTATTTATAATACTCCAGACCTCCCAGTCTGTACTGGACATTAATTAGGTTACTGGAACACTGCATCCCATTTTGTAGCAATATTAGATTCATTTCATATTTGTGCTTTTTTCTTTCTCTTTATTTTCCCTGATGCCAGCAGGACTGCTTTGTAAATGAGAAACCATTGTGTTTCTCAGGGGGAGCATCCTGTACAAATAAAAAAGCAGCAGAGTAAATCATTTTATAGCATATGGTAGATTCTAAGCCTCAAAGTACTCAGATTCCCTAGCAGAAGAGGCATAAATGGAATCAAATGAATAAATTGCCATGTTTTCTTATTATAAATGTCTGAATTGAGAAGTTCACCTGAGCAGCTTCCCTGTTTTGTAATTGCCTGGTATTTGCTCTTCCTTACTAGACGGAGCACAAAGACGAAGCTTTTATCACCTCATTTTTCACATATTATGTGCTAGCAAACAGCTGCACGTTTAAGAACCGGGGAGCAATTATTCCATATTAGGCCTTTGAAGGTAGGGAGGTGACATGGGAGGAACATGGGCTGCTGGTGCTCGGTTACACCACAGTCTCAGGAGAACATACCTGCAATGAGAAATTCCATGAAGCTGCCACAGTGAGAGATGGGGGACAACTGGCAGGAGTGGAGGATTCGGTCCTTCTGCTTATGCTGCATGTGACTTCAATATTTATGTAATAAGCAAAATGCAATGGGACTCCCACAGCTTAGAAATTATGACAGGTCTTTGCTCAATCATCCTAATTTGTATTTCTCTATAAGGTGGATAACAATAGAAAAGAGACTCTATAGACTGTTTTTTCGAAAGCGCCGTGTACTGATATCTGTCTCCTTCTGACTGGGCTTTTTGTTTGTTAAGAAAAAAAACAATACTTTAATGAGTGCTGAAAGTTCAGCTTCTGCAAGCTGAAATGGCCCCAAAGTGATGAATTTTGAAGTTCTGGCTGTAGTTACTAAAAGGTGACTGTTGCTTCTTTGCCAGTTATGCTCATGCACTTTGCTTTATTTTACATTGCACTTGCTATGACAGTCAACAGGCCTCCAATGATTTGCGCCATCTGTGTAGACCAAACTTGTCTGATACAATTTTTTTGGTTTTATGTAGTACCTCCTATGGAAGATTGTAAGGAACAAGAGCCTGTGATGGACAACAATATTCCTCTGGTGCCTTTTGAGAGACCTGCTGTTATAGAGAAGCTGACAAGCAACATGGGAAAGCGTAAAAGCTCCACCCCACAGAAGTTTGTGGGTAAGCTTGAGAAACACATTTTATTTACAGTGGTACTAGGTATAGGTTGCTCGTAATTTGGAAATAGTTTAAAAAAAAAAAAAAGTGAAAAATGCCATTTGGAGAACTTGTTTCTGATGGGGAGGAAAAATAAACAAGATGCTTAAACAAGATGCTTAAATGATAGCAAAAAAATCCTGGAAGTGATTACAGTTTTGCTGGCCATATGCATTCAAAAGTGAGGACTATGAAAATGGCTTTTATAATCTTAATTTTTTGACCATACTATACCTTAGGTTCTTTTTAAACTTTTTTGTGGCTTTCAAGAATTAAACTTGTCATCTTTCCATTTCCTCATCTCTCTTCACTTGCAACTTACATTAAAATCTTAAGAGTTGGCAAGAAGTGGTGTGATAATACTGGCATGTGGAAATAAAATCATATAGCTCCCATCGAAAGCTGTGCAGTGTTCTGCACTAGATAAACTTCTTAATTCATGAATACAAAATGGACCATTTTTGATTATGATTTCAGGATCTTGGGCCCAAAGTTTGTTTTGCTTTGTGTATAGCTTAGAATAAGCTTAGAATCGTTCAGCTTGCAACGTAGAGAATTCTACTTGCACTGAGCTGTAGCTTCAAGCTTCTCTTCACGCTGGTGTGAAGGCCGTGTGAAACTTAGGAGAGGAGCTGGGGTATTACTGGGGTAAGTGGATGCTGCTGGACTGCAGAGCCCTGTCACGGCTGCTTTCTTGCTCGCTGTCTGGGAGGACAGGGGTACAGGTTTTAAGGCTGTCATGTTCTCCACCCGTCCGCTCTGACGACACCCACAGAGAGGTGTGAGGATCGCAAGCAGTTGAGACAGTCATTTTGAAAAGCTTTGCCCCTCAGCTGAATCCAGATTCAGCTGAATTAGTTAAATCCCTGCTGAAGATGGGTTTAAACTAACCCCCATGGTTTGGAGTTGTACACGACTAGCAGCGTGCTTCATCTCACCCAGGGGACACCGATGCACCGACCTGGCTGTTCCCACTCCAACCCCCCAAATATCAGTGCCTGGCCGTCTTCCCGGCACTGCTCAACATAGTTTTTCTTTGCTGTCCATTCTTTCCTGCCTCCTTTTAGGCCAAGGCTAGATCAGGAACAATCCAACTCACAAAAAGGTGGGAAAGCAGTAGTATATTCTTCATTGTTTTTAGTCCTCCTAAGATAAAAAGTTTAGTTTTTATTCTGATGTCTTTAGGGATCATCTGAAATGCATTACCATGTAGCTGATGAGCATAGAGAACTTGTGTTTAGATTTGTTTTGCCGCTGTTGCAAGCAATTAAAGACTGTTGGAGAGGGTGCAAAAAGGAGAAGCTGACTAGCCAGATCCAGCTGTGTGGGATCCTAAATGCAGCCCCTTCCGAACAGACTTGCAAGTTTTGATCAGCAGGGCAATATTTAGCCAAGCTGGCATTTCAGTTGGTGTGCTTAGACCTCCGAATCCCTACAGCCTTGAAAGGAAGAAGAGCAGTCTACTCCTCTTGCCTTTTCTTTCTTTTTTTCCTCAAGTTGTCCACTGATTCTGACCTGCATCTTTTTTTCCTGCAATATCTCTGCCAGGAATTGGAGGCTTTTTCTGTAAGGACTAGAGACTTTTTCCCTTCCCTCTGAAGTTCTGGAGCCTGCTCTCATAAGCAGTATCATTTATCCATTATAAATACACCTCACAGCTGAGGCAAATGGATTGCTAGATGGGTTAAATTGATTTAACTTTTGGAAACTGCACATGATGGATTTTCTTTTAGACTGAGAAGGTTATTTTATTTGCCCACTCGCATGTGATTGACCATATGTTGTTACTGTCTTTAAAGGTGAACTTACTGATCTGAAATGCTTGCATGAAACATGCTCTGGGAGATTATTATTCTCTTCAACAGGGTATACTTCACTGAAGATGAAGCTACTTGTTCTATAGAAACAATATATCATTTTGACTACTCTCTTTTTCTGAAGTTAGGAATTTAGGTTCTCATATGACATGGAGCTTCTTATTCAAATCCATTTGTAGGAAAAAAAGGAGTGTCTTACCGTATCTTATTTTTCTGCCTCTTTTATTCTTTCCTGGCATCACAGGGTGCAAGTGAAAGAGAGCAATGTCTTTCTCCTTCGCTGCTTTTTTTTTTTTTTTTTTTTTTTTACCATTGACCACACTTTTTTTCACATTTTCTCCTTGATGAGATTGCGTTCTGCTCTATCAGGAAGAACTTGTAATGGTTCTCTTGCTTGCAGGAAAATTTCTTGTGCATACTGCAAGCGTGGCACCTATCCAGAACAACTTAATGGTATTTATGAGAAGGTCATGTAAGCATAAGCTCAAATCTTTGCATGCTACGGCTATCAGTGCTTTACTGCTCTTTCTGATCAGCAGTCTCCAAGGGACCTTTGTTATGGATCACAGTCTTTCCTCTGGTTGAAATTGCAGAAGGATGGGAAGTAGCATACAGCAGAGAGAGTAAATTTTGGAGTGAGAGAGAGCTTGGTTATAGCTTCTGCTGAAGTAATAGTCTTTCTAAGCCTGTTGAAATAGGGGAGGCAGAAAATAAGATACACAGGAATGAATGCTAACTTTTGCCTCTTTTTTGAAAAAGAAAGAAGCAGACATACATCATGATGTGGATTCATGTGTTTTCAGCTTGAATGTGGTACTCGCTGTCACAGAGTGTCACCGAGGTTAAGAACTTGGCAGGATTCAAAGGAGTTCATGTGGCTTACGATAAGACCGTGGTTGTTCTAGTAAGAATTAAAAATATATAGGCAATCATCCTGCTGCAAAGGCACAGTCGACTCGTAGCTAATAGGGATCAAGAATAAAATTCACTCGGGTAAATTCTGTAACTGTTTTCTGTAAGGTTTCCTGTGTCTTTCTCTGAAGTGTCTGATATCCCTGTTGTCGTAGATGCTTGACAAGCTGGACTTCAGGTATCGTAGTACAGCAGTGCCCAAGGTCTTTGATCCAGCTGCAAATACCAGCTGGAGGGATTTTTTCCTCTTCTTTTATGGGATGCTGTGTGGTAAGCTGACCCTGATAAGGAGTGGTAGTTCTGCTTCATCAATACATGGGAAAGATCAGTGGAACTGAGAATAGGCTTGGGTAGATGACTGTGAAGTAGTTCCTTATGATTAGACATTTCACTAAAGAGAAGTTATTTAAAATTGAAAAACATGTCAAACCAGGCTGGATTGGTTTGCTAATGTTTCTTTTGAGCTCTGTGATTTATGCACCCCCACACGCCATGTTAGCTTTTATTTTATTTTTGTATGTCACACTCCATTTTTAAGGCTCCAGTGTCTTTGAAACTGGTTTGTAATTAAAGGAATGAATAATTCAGGTCACTGGCAATTTGCTGTTTGCTGTACTCTACTCTCTGGTGGAGTCACTAAATGTGGAAGATGAAAGGAATCAAAGCAAGGCCTGCAATGTTCCCCCAGGTTTTCCATAGAGAATAGATATTACTGATTGACCTGTCCCTCTAGCCTGCACGGGATTGTCAGCATATCTGGAGATTCAGTCAGGCTCCCTTTCCTCCAACATAGCCCCTTTCTCGAGCACAGGAGCTACGTGCAGGGCTAAGAAGAGGTGACAAGGACACCTCTTTATGTGGAGCAAAGGAACGGTTTTCTTTTCCATGTAAGGTGTTCTCCTGGTGAGCTGTATGCCTGACACTGCCGACGCAGGGAGGTGTAGGGGGTGCGTAAACCTGGTGTCTAATCAGAAGCACGTGAGCAGTGCTGAAGTGAGTAGGAATATTCACGTGCTTCACTTCAGACTTGCATGTAATTGCCTTGCTAATCAGGGCCAAGTTCCTAAGCCAGAGTGATGCACAATCTCCAAGGATAACCTGATTGTACCGTGCGCAATGTGAAATTATTTCTCTCTTTAAGGATCCCGTTATCATAAGCCACGCTAAGTGAAATGAACTATTTTAGACAAAAATAAAATGCTGAATGATAGCTCTGTTGAAATGTACTAATGCTAGTTGGAAGAGATTTGGGATTGCAGTTCTGTTTCGTTCTTATGTTGGTTTGTACGCCTTTTGTTCCAAGCAAATTTGGCAAAAAGTAATAGAAGATTTTAAAGTTACTGGATAGCCAAACTAGTTTTATGTAGCAACTTCCTGAATTGATTAACTTACAGTGCTGAGAAGTTTTACATAGTGAGGCGGTGAAAAGTAACAAAGACAATGAAACCCAAAGTTATTTATTAGTTTTTGTTAAGTCTGCTTCAAAAGAATTACAGTTAACTGGAATGTATGCATATATACACATGTGGAAGCGTGTATCTTTTACCCATATAGTTGTGTATGCATATGGTTTTCTATTTAAAAGGAAGAGTTATTGTAGGAACGTTCCTTGTACTGACACCCTAAAGCCACCGCTGGAAAAGCAGTGCTGCTGAGCTGAGCCCTGATGTCAGTAGCTGTAACTTGATTAAGCTCAGAGGAGGATCTGTGACACTCGGCGTCCCCAGTGACTAGCAGAATTCACCGGTGTGTGGTTTTGGTTTTGCATATCTGTAATGCCATTTATTTTAAAAGCTTACAGAGGTGTGAATTTGGATTCACACACTGATGAATCAGACAGCTTCCTCATCACTGTGTTATTTATGTATCCTAAGTCAATGGAAGTTGCTTTGGCTTGCACCAAATTAAACTAAGCCGTGCATGTTTCCATGCCTGAGAGACATTGCCCCATGCCTAAAGAGACCCTGGAAGTTTGGGGGAGTGTATTTTTGTTGTTGTGTAGAGATTGGTGGTTTTTACTCCGGGTAGTTGGGGTAAGGGGTTTTCTTGTTTATTTTGGGAAGGGTAAAATGCAAAAAAAAAAAAAAAGTCATTCTGATGCTAAATGCAAGGTATTGAGGTCAACCTTGCAGTGATGTTGCTACAGCCTGTGGAGACATGTAGCCACTTCGCTGCTAGCAATGGCTGAAGCATCTATACCTCGTGCAACTGAAGATGTGCTAGGACCTTATGAGGCCCATAAATCCTCTGCTTAGATTTCTCAGTACGCAGCCCTGCTGTAAGGAATGAGCCACCCTGGGGAGCACGTGGCGTTCCCCCTCCTTTAGCTCCAGGAGAGTGTGTCCAGTGTTCCAACCCGCAGAGCTCTGTCGGCCTCAGTGGTACAATCCCATTTCCTCATAGTTGTCCTCCCTTGAGGCATGGGCAGGAAGGAGGCACAGGGAGGTTTGGAGTTGGTCTGGAATTCAGTGCAGCTGCTTTACCTGGAATAAAAAGAACTTCTAGCAAGTTTGCTATTTGGCCATTTCACAGCTGGAACTTCATAGGAGGTCAGGAAATAAATGGAAGGAGAGTAACTTTGGACTCTCTAATGAATTTCACTTAAAGTTGGAGGACTTCTGCTGTCCCCACCCCTCCCCTTTACTGTGAAACGTTGAAGTGACGGTACTGATTTTCCTCTTTCATTTGCTCTTGTGCCACAGGTGAAAAGCTCATGAGATTTGGCTATCCAGACCTTCACTTTGATATGAACTTAACCTACGAGAAGGAGGCTGAGCTGATGCAGTCTCACATGATGGACCAAGCCATCAACAATGCAATCACCTACCTTGGAGCTGAGGCACTTCACCCCCTGATGCAGCACACACCAAGCACAATCGCAGAGGTGGCCCCGGTCATCAGCTCAGCTTACGCTCAGGTCTATCATCCTAACAGGATAGAGAGGCCCATCAGCAGGGAAACGGCTGACAGTCACGAGAACAACATGGATGGCCCCATCTCCCTCATCAGACCAAAGAGTCGAACCCAGGATCGAGAGGGCTCCCCCAGCAATAGCTGCCTGGATTCTACTGACTCAGAGAGCAGCCACGAAGACCGCCAGTCCTACCAAGGAAACTCTGCCTTAAATCCCAAGAGAAAGCCAAGCCCGGCTTATATGAAGGAGGACGCCAAGGCTTTGGATGCTGCGAAAGCTTCTAAGGGCTCTTTAAAGGATATCTACAAAGTCATCAACGGAGAAGGGGAGCAGATTAGGGCTTTCAAGTGCGAGCACTGTCGCGTTCTTTTCCTAGACCATGTCATGTACACCATCCACATGGGCTGCCACGGCTACCGGGACCCGCTAGAGTGCAACATCTGTGGCTACCGGAGCCAGGACCGCTATGAGTTCTCGTCGCACATTGTCCGAGGGGAGCACACATTCCATTAGGCCTTCTCATCCAAAGGGGACTCTTATGAAGTAGACAAAAAAAACAAAAACAAACAAAAAAAAAACTGCACATGAAGAAATACTGCACTTACAATCCCACTTTTCCTCAGACATTGATACATCTATTTTGTTGTTGTTGCTGTTGTTGTTGTTGCTGTTTAATTATTATTAACCTTATTTTTGTGGACCCAACCTCAGTTGCTCTGCCCGGCTTAAGAAAGGAAAGAAGGAAGGGAAGGGATAAAAGAGGGGGTTGCTGTCACTTTTGGCTGAGTGACCTGACTTGCTTTCTGTGGGAATGGAGAGGCAGGCCGTTTCTGTCACAGTTAGCTGTGTCTCGTGTCCTATTTTGGGATATTGCTCAACTCTGCTAGGTGCTTTAAAGTCGTGATGAGATGCCACTCCTTGATAATTTCAGACAAATAGGTAGGAACATTTCAGAGGAGAGCCTTTTTCAAGCGTATAGATACGGTGTGGGGTTTGGTGGCTGGAGAAGAGTGGAGAGGGACTTTATTTTACAGAATGAACAATTATTTTTAAAGCAAAACTGTTTAGCGCTAGGGATTTAGGAGCACGAATCAAAGTCAATATTCCTCTGAAGACGACTTTGTAGGGTGAGCTGTTTCCTGGGTTCGGTGTGTATTGCTCCTCAAGAATGTACAAAAATGTATGTCTAACACTGTAGCACATAACAGCAGTTTAGTTTCATAAGTCCAAGGGCCTTCTGTGGTAAGTTTGAGGCTCTGTATTTTTATTTTTCTTAACTTATGAAGCACCTTTTATAGAATTGTTGATTTGCTCTTACTCCATGCCTGTGTGTTGACTCACCGGCTTCTTAGAGACCCTTGGGAGCCTTACTTACTTAGTTGCACCCTATGTTTTAAGAAATAGCATTTACAAATAACGTTTTAACCTTGCTCCTAGGACAGTAAGTGGCCTAGGAGTGGGTGAGAGAGTCTGTAGTTTACTCAAGAGGTTCTGCTGCTCTTCTAAAATAATTTGTTTTAAAATTGCGGATTTTAAAATGACAAAAGTACTAGTAGCAAAGTGTTCTTTAAATATAATTATATATCTATATATACCTATATAAATACTTTCTCATTCTATTATCACAGTGTTAACCTCTTGGCAGCAGCCTAAACTAAGACTTGCAGCTGGGAAAACACTAGGAGCCAGATCGTCGGCCAACGTTAATCCTCTTAGCTCCATTGAGTTTAATGGAACTAATCCAACTACTTCAGCTACATCAGGATCTGAGCCTTGATCATTTTTTCTCATGTTAACGTTGTTTGCTAGTTTGCTGATGCAGTGACTTCCTTTTGTTTTTAAATCATCAATTCTGCTTTAATTTAGGGGTGGAAGTGCGAATTTTGCTGGATATCCTTGGCTCTTGGAGAGCGTGCAAGCCCTTCAAACAAGCAGATTGCAAACAATCTCCCCAACTTCGTTAGAAAGTGATATATGAGATACAGATGCTGTGCTTTAATTTGGATTTATAGATATCATCTTTGTTCATAATTTATAAACTTCACTGTAGAGAACGCAAACAAAAAATAAATTCCAGAGCAATTTCTTGAACTACAGACTGGAGGACAGAGGGGGAAAAAATATATATATATTCCTCTCTATCTCTCCCAATAAATAACAAATCCAGCAACCAGCCTGCAGGTTGCATCACTGAAAACTGGGCTTAAACCTGTGCGACAGATTGCCACTGAAGCCCAACTGTTTGTACCGATCACTATGGAATTGTTTTTGTTTGGCAACAAGAGCACAGCTTAAGAATGGCAAGATCTGCATGTGGGCTTAACCCCTTCCGTGCCAGCAGTCTCCCTCTGCTCCGTGAGACCCTATCAAAAGCACGAAGTTACAGAAGTGTAAAAAAGAGAGGAAGATGGGGCCATAATGAGTTCCCATCTGCTCCCTCCAATCTGCGTGCTCTGTGCACATGCCAGTTTGCTGTTCGTTTTGAGGGTGCTGTTTTTTTTTTCTTCTTCCCTTCCTAGACCTGGAGCGTTTGAAAGTAGGAGCTGAGTGGTATTGATTGAAATCTTTTTACGGTGACATTCTTGGCAGCTAGAACCTGAGTTGAGAAAGGATACAGTAGATCATGGCCAGATTACCTGATGACTGCTTCCCAGCACTGAAATGCTATTAAGTAGGAGCTGGTAAAGTCTTGCAGTAGCCTATTAATTATAATACAATATGGAGAGAAATGTCATCTTGTATAATCTAAGAGCTATCAAGGCTGGGAATATATAGGCCTTGGAGAGACAGATTTAAAGACCTATTCCCAACATTGTTCTTAATGTCATAGGCTTCCTCCCCTCCTTTTTTTTCATATGAATATAGAGGAAGTTCAGGCCAGTGAAGCGCTGCCTCCTCCAGACCCTTCTGCTTTTTGGGGCTTGGTGCAGAGGAGTTTGTCCAGCAGATAAAGGGGAGATGCTGGAGGGCATCACTCCTACTCTGGCTGATTCGCTATGACTATGGAGGTTGGCTTAGGAAGCAGCTGACCGTGTTCTGCATCATCCTAGACCTAGGGAAGGGGGAAAGATTAAATTTCAGCTACGTTCTGAAGTGAGGTTTGTGCCCACATTTATTTTAGTGTTTAAATCCTGCTTAGTATTGCTGTGGAGAGAGAGAAGTTGAATAAGACAGTCCCAGCTCTCGAGTTGGAGGCCTGCTTGATATAGGAGAATTTGCTGGAGAGTTTTGCTTCCATCAGCTTGCTCCTGTGCAGAAGTGTGCACAACTGGGGCCTCAGAGAAATTTTTTTCTTGCGTGCCCTCTGCAGATTTCTAAGAAAAGCTCTTGAGTTTTGTCAAATTCATTAGTCATTCAAAGCGTACTAAGAATTTTAGCAGATAATCCTTGGCCTGCAGATGCATTTGTTCTAAGTATCTGGTGTTTGAAAGTGAACCTGGCTGATTTTTATTGGACTCTCTCGAATTCTTGGAATCAGATTTCCAGTTAAAAATGTACATTTGCAAATTTAGATTTGGCTTCCTGTGATCATTCCCCATTTTCATTAAAAAAAAAGCCATTTCTGCAAACATCCCTGCCAGTAAATCCTTTCAGTTCATTTTACATCAAAAAAAAAAAAAAAAAAAGGCAAGATTCTGACTCAGTTTAAATTAGTACAAGCCTATTAATTTAAATAGAAGTGTGATTGCTTATTCTGCTCTTGATATGATCCATATTCTTGGAGCAAAGGGCATTATCTATATATCTGCTGCTATGGCCAATGAATTTTACAGCCACCTTTCTTTGCAATCAGTTAGAAATGCACATCAAATATATAGGATTTTTCAGTAAAGCCAGCATTTTGCTCAGTAATTTATGGGATTGAAACAATTTTATTCTCCTTAAAACGTGCTTCCATCTATGAAGTGATGTGAAAGGTGCCTAGGCATGAACTTTTATTGGTCTCTACTAGAGAGGAAAAATCTAACTAAATTTGTAAATCAACCTGGTATTTTTAATGATTTTTACAGCCTGAAGGCACAGCTCGCAAAATAGCCACATAGAAATAAATGTATATAGCAAAGAGTCAAGAAATTCTCAACTTTAAGATTTTCCATATTTCCTTCCATTAACATGGACTTTCCTAAATTTGGAGCATCGGTGAGGAATTCAACCAGATCCTTCAAAGCTGGCCTTTAATAGGACATTATTACTGTCGTCTAGGTCCTGTGCTGGCGTTTTCGTGATTGAAAAACAGCCCCTGGAAAGAAGGCCCGCAGAAAGAAGAGTAGGACACTGCTCCTTCCTCCAGAAAGGGGCTTTGGAGATGCAGCTAGAGAGAGGTGCTTATTTCAGCCAAGGACAGGAGTAGCGGTAATACGGTTCCTTCACTATTTAATGTGCTTTCCTTGCAGCCCTTGCTGTGTTTTCTTAATGATGGGGGAGAAGGGAGGTTACATTTTTACCCGAGTAGCCTAAACTCAGTATGGCAGTTTAGGCAAAGTGAGATCAAATTGGCTGGGGTGCACTTTGCATCTTCCCTTGATTTATTGTCATTTAAAGAACAAAAACGGTTGCTAGTAATGACCTGCAGTCAAGAGCAGCTGGGGATTTTGAGAAAGTATGTTTATATATATATATGGTATCATATTGTTAATATATATGCTTTATTGTATATGTGCCTTTTTCAAATGCATTTTGAAAGCTTGGGGTGTCATTCGTGGTATCTTACCATACCCTTTCAGAATGCAAAACAAAAACCAACCAACCCAAAGTAAGAATCCCTGCTTGAATAGCATAGCAAGGCAGCTCCCCCTTCCTTTCTGCACCTTCTTTTCGGCAGCTTAAACGGGAGAGGAGACTGGCTTAGGTATTCCGCAAAGGGATTTCCCCGAGTGAGTTGACTTAAAAAGTGGAAAGGGCTGAAAATTACCCAGACAAAGTGTATCTGAGCTATCCAGCTAGAGCTGCTCTCAGAGCTGGTCCCAGCCAACGTGATCATTCATGGCCCCGTCCTTACGCCCCTTGCCAAGACGTTTTGCAAGAGCCCCCAGCTGCACCGTACCTTCCAGAGCAGCATGGCAGGGAATTCTTGTTTTCTTATCCTTTGCAGCTTCAAGTAAAGCACCCTTGAAAATGGTCTTTGCTGTGTGTTTAACTTCCCGTTCAGGAACAGGAGCAGATTTGCTGGCGTTTTGCAAAAGTGTGCTTGCAGCTGGAGAAAGAGCAAAGCTCCTGGGCGCTGGGACTCCGGTGCTGCTGCTGCTGCGCTGGTACAGTGAGCAAGAGAGGAGAGAAACCACCCGTAGAAGGTATCAGGGAGCGCGTTTGTATCTCAGGCCAGGAAGGACTCGCTGTCAGACATGGGGGGTTATTTGCTGGTCTGCTTTGGTGTAAAGTGCAGAAGGGTTTGGGTACTTGCCTGATGGGCTGGTGACCTCGCTTCAAGCCTGCTTATTCACCCCGTGTGGGCGCAGTGTCCCAGGCCAGTGTGCTTGCTCTCCTGCCGGGAATGCTGCTGCTCAGCTCCGCAGGGCTGGGATTCCCAGCAGCTGGTTCCGGCACATCATGAGTATGAGGGAAGGCAAAGAGGGGAAGGAGATAGAAAAGAGGCAGAATTTGCTCCTAAGCAAAAAAGAAAAAAAAATATATATATAATATATATATATATTATATATAATATCCTCTGAAGTGTAGGCCCGGAAGAATATTATCCGTTTCTGTTGTAGCCTAATGAATGCAGCCCTGCCAGGAAGCGTGTGAGTGCTGTGCTCTTCCAGCGAGGCTCCGAAGGGAAACCAGGATAGTTGCAAGGAGGTAACATTTCCCCATGCCTCAGACATAATAGTAGGTCAAGACGACAATAAAAATGGCACTTAGTTAGACTGGCCCGCTTTGCAGCTGGAGTTCCTGCGAACCAGCTTTGCTGTTATCCTAGTTTACTTTAGAGGGTGCTCCTGTGATTGGGAACATACCTGACCATGACCCGACCATACCTTCTCCTTCTTGGGAAGCTTTCCCTTTGCAGTGCAAATCGTGGCACTTAATCCGTGCACAGAAATGACCATCTCCCTTTCAGCTAAGTAAAACCTGAGGTTATTTAAGACAGTTGCAAGAATACTGTGATGTGTTTACTAGCAGTACGT